CACCACCCCCGCCACCCCCAGAATTCCCTGGGAGCCAGATTTACACATAAATTCATTAAAATTTACTCCAACTTCAAGTTCAGGCCACAGTCTTAGCAGCCACTTGGGGTAGTGGCAGCGCTGGGCAGATCCAGAATGTGCCTCAGCCCCAGGAGCTCCACAGGACAGCGCAGGCAGCCACCATACACCACGACGGAGGCCTGAGAGCAGACTTGCTGCTCCCTGGCCTGCAGTCAATGGTTATAACTCCTGCACACTCCAGGCAACTGAGTCCTCACACTGACTCCAAAGAGAAAAGGGAGTCCTGGACTCCCACAGCACGGAGAAGAAACAGAACCAGAATAAAGACAGGAGCCTCTGCCGCATGGCCAGGAGGGAAGGTCCACATAGCAAGGACAAAGGGAGAAGAGCATCCGCCACGAGCCAAGGCCAAGGACCCACCTGAGGCAGTCCAGCACAGATCCAACAACGTCATCTGCCAGCTCTCGAGGAAGCCGTCCTGCCATCCTGCCAATCCTGGGGAGAAGTGACAGCCATTGGGCCAGCAGCCTGGTGTGAGACACATGCTATGTGGACAAGATGGGAGAAAGCCCCACACACTGCATTCAGCCACCATCACTCACCACGGTGGAGAGCGGGCACAGCTCACAGGAGGGCACATGGACACTGCAGTCCATCACCAGCGGCCGATGGCAGCCAGGGACACGTGGAAGTCTTCGGCCCAGCCCTCCCACCAAGCAGGATGCCCACTCCCACAGGAGATGCTGGCCCCACAGGGAGGAGGCCAAGTGTGGAGCCCCAAAGGAGTGTCCTTCCCTGTCCCAGTGTTGGACCACACTCCAAGGGGCCTCCACTGCTGACGCTGAGTGAGAAGCCCAGATCCCAGGAAAGGCTACCAGCTTGAGGACCCCAGTACCCCCTGGGGCACAGCACCCCCCCACACACACACACACCCCGCGCCACCTGCCAGCCAGCCTTTCATCTTCCCCACACAAGACCCATTCTGTAAGGAACCTGTCTCTCCACCGTCCAACACTCCCACGGAGCCAAAGTTCGTTCTTAAGAATCATCTTAGAGATCTAAAAACCTGGTAACCCCCATATAAAGTTTTTAACTGTCTATGGGGACACCCGGCCCCACCGCCCCTGCCTGGCACTTACCCTTTGGCTGCAGACCAGCGCACCACTGTGTCTCTGTCCTTCAGCCCCACTAGCAGCTGCTCTGAAAGAGGAAGACCCAACCCTTGGCCTCCATAAGGTCTTGGGCACAAATGTCCCAACCCACACAGTACTCCCAACCAATATCCTGGAGAGAGCCATGCTAAGAATCTCAATTTTAATTAGGAAAGAAAAGAGCAGCTCCTGCCCTTATCTTTAAACAACACAGAAGGCCGATCACTGCTCCTAACACACGGATCCAGCACAGCAGAGGGTCATTCAGGGCAGTGGCCTCCACAGGGGAGGTCAAGGGCCATAGAAGGTGGGCCATGGGGGACAGGCCAGCCAGGGGGTCCCCAGGGAAAACATCCGCCACGATCCATGAAGGCCAGCCCTCCCAGGCCCCTAGCCCAGAGGCTTCTGGGAGGTGACCTGGCATCAGCAGGGCCCAAACCTTGGCCAGAGGGCCAAGGGCAGCCCCAGGCCAGCCTGACGTGGAGAAACAGCCACAGGACAGAGGTGGAGGGAACCCATCAGTGCAGAGGTACCTGGGACAATCAGAAGGGACTCAGCAGAGGATGGTGGAGTACCAGGTGGCTCTGAGGGCCCACAGCAGGCACCAGGAGCCATGTCACAGCAACCAGGGGAGGGAAGGTGAACGGCATCAGGGTGAAGGGAAGGACAAGGCGCGACGCACTAAAGCAGTATGCAGAGCTGCCACCGTGGCCACGGCGGGGCACATACTGCAGGTGCAGATAACACGGGGAGAACCTGCCCCAAAGGCAGCCAATTGGAACTGAGCAGAGGGGACGCAGCAGGAGGCCAGCCTGGACCTGGCCCTCCCAGCCAGGATGGGGCAGGACAGGGATCCCCATGAGGAAAGGCAGGCAGGATGCCGGGACGGAGAGTAGGCAAGAGCAGCCGAAGTGAACATAGAGAGGGGTACACAGCCTCCATGGTGACAACAAAGATGGGGGCTGAAGGGGCCTGAGGCACCCCTCAGGAAATGGTGGGTAATAAGCCGGGCAAGGAATAGGGCCTGAGCCTAGTATCCTGCCTCACTAGATACCCCAGGTGAGGGTCATTTGAGTCATGCATGAGGAGAGGCCGGTAAAAGGGGCAGCATGGCATGGTGCTATGCTTACTGCAGGTGACAAAGTCAGACGGTCCCCACACCAGGAAAGAAGGGGAGGGCATCACAGAGCAGTGGCCCAGGGAGAGTCCAACAGAGAGTGTGCAGGAGGCCACTGGTCCCCCACTTACCTATGACGCTCTCCACCCCTTCTGGGACATCGTAGTCTTCATCTCCGTCAGATCTTACCACAGGCATCTTCTGCTCCGTCTGAGCCAGGGCACAGAGCTGCAGGTTAGCAGCCAAGGATCGGGAACCACGCTGATACCTGTGCAGACCATGGCATTCAGATCAGCCGCCACACTAGAACACGTGCGTCAATGTCTCAGAGACCTATCACTCTGTACCACAGAGGATCCTGTGAGGGCTCCATGTGCTACCTGGAGACAGCAGGGGAAGCGGGAAGACTGGAGCACTGTCATCAGCACCAACACAGAAAGCAAGCCCAAGACACAGACACATGAGTGCAGCCACTGCCAAGCCGCACCGTGGAAGGCAAGGACCCTGTGCCAGGTCCACAGGGCAGAAATGCAGCCTCACCCCACCTATATCAGGTGGCCACACGGCCCCTACTCGCCTGTGGCCCATGGATTCTGCCTTGCACACACACGGCAGCCCAGTTTTCATCCCATGGGGCTGGCATCCCTCCACGGATGTGCATGCAGAATCCCACCACACACCCACATGGCCACACAACTCCGCAGAGCCTCTGAAAGGCAGGAGAGCCACTGAGAGTACACGGACCACAGGCAGGCAGGGCCAGCAACGCCACTGCCCCTCGAGAACAGCACAGCCCACAGCTACCCTCAGTGCTTGTGACGTTATTTTGGTCTGTCTGGACGGAAGATTGCGCACAGCAGACAGCGCAGCTGAAGACTTGGGCAAAGCAAGACAGGACAGGAAGAGGGAGTCCATCTCCAGCCTGCCACACCACTGCATACCTTGAGTCTCACCCGCCTCCATGGCCACGTGAGCCAGCTCTCCGTGAAGCGTGTGTGTCTGTGTGTACCCACAACACCAGGCTGGTATGCTTCTCTGGAGCACCCTGCCTAGCAGTCCTGCACCATCTTCCATGGCAGTCTGGAACCAAGCATCTATCTAATAAACTAAATGTCTATCTACTAAGCTGCTTCTTACAGAGGGGGTGCATACTCAACACCAGAAGGTGTTCCAGTAAGATGTCACTAAATCATAGCACACTTCTCCAGAATTTGCCATAATTTGGAAGAAAGATCAGGTGAACTTAATCCAGTAACTCCTTCCACACACATTACTACTCAAAATAAAACAGAAGGCTGCTAAGAACACAGCACCCCAGGAATGCGGAAGAAGTTTGTGTCAAAAGGGGCAGCTCAGTATCAATCTGCTAATTAAAGCAAGCACCTAGGACGTGAGGACCTCGTGTCCTTCAACAAGCAAAGGTGTTTCCTTTCCCAAGTAAACCCGAAAAAGTGAGATCACACTGATGGCTGGCTGACAGGAAAGGAGCTCCCCCAGCTTCAGCCCCATCCAGCAACACTGGGCTGCATCTGAGCAGTGTGTCCACTGAAGGCACGGCCAGCTTCCTTCACTCCACTCAGCCTCAGCCACAGAGCCAGAAAGTACTCAAAGGAAAAAGGCTCCTTTCAAAACCAGAAACGCTTAAAGAGATTAAAGAAGTGAAGGTAGAAGACACATTTGCAGATCAGCCTACGCACCATGAGCACCCAAGACCAATGCCACAAGCACCTACTCACCTCCAATCAGCTACCTTTGGCTTCAGGAAGGTCAGCCCCAGACGCTGCACCAGCTTCACCCCCAGCTTTCTCAACAGGGTCTGGTTGCTCTCAGAGAGCCTGCAGTTGTCCAGGCACTGCAGCACGATGTTGGCTGTGGAGAAAGCACATGGCTCAGCATGATGGGAAAGGCCCCCACTCACCCTGTAGCCGATGCCTGCCACACTAAGGCCAGCTGACTCCACAGTCCCAGTGCAGGTGACAGCTGCCCCGAGCCCTGACCTCAAGATCCCTCTTCCCAGGTCATCCGCCAAGAGCAGCTGCAGTGGAACCAGTCAATGACCTCACCAGGTAGCACCCACTAGGGAGGCCCAAAGCACCACAGTCATCCTGCAGCAGCTATTATGGCTGTGTCTAGGTGTGCCCCCAAAGCCCCATGCACACTCATAGGTGGCGCTTTTCAGAGGTGGTTGGATCTACAGTGTATAACGCTGGGACTGATTCATGGTGCAATTCTAGGCTCAAGGGCACTAGGATTAAGGGTGTGAGTGCTGCCCACCCTAAGCAGCCTGGATAAGATATAAGGGACAGAAAAAGCTGTGGTCGTCCTTTGTTGCTTTGCTACCTTCTGCCTGCCATGGACTGTTTCTCCTCTGTGATGCCCTCAGCCTTGGAGCCTGATTATAGACAGAAACCTCTACAAACTGTGAGCAAGAACAAACCTTTCCTCTCTTAACTTATGGGTGCTGGGTATTTTGTTTCAGCAACGACAAAAAAAACTAAGGCAGAGGCAGCTGTGCAGGCTGAGGGACGGGGACAGGAGAGGAACCTCACAGCAGCCTGGGACTTCTGAGCACATTCTGTCTGCCAAGGCCACTCAGCAGCACAGAGATGGTAGTCGGGGTAAGCCAAGTTCTGTGTCCAAAGGGGTACTGTGGCAGGACCCATGCCACACAGGTGGCTGGGGGGAGTAAAGGCAGGAGAATGACAGGACAGCATCCCATGGGGAGACAAGAGAACCTGGGAAAGGAACAAGGGGCTGGATTTCAGGGGTGAGCTCGAGGGAAATGGATGAGACTGACCAACCACGTGAGAAGCAGGGGACAGAAGAGAGACTGGTACAGAGCCAAGCAGCTGGACGAGGTGACGAGGAAAAGGTGATGGGGGGCTGACAGGAGTGGGAGAGGTACAGCCAAGAAGGGACTGGTAACAAAAGGATGGTGACAGGAGAAACAAGAATCCCAGAGGTCAACGACAACTTCAGGGCTACATGTGCCAAGGCCAGGTCCCACCATGATCGAGATCACAGTCAGGACGCCTTGGACCCCATCTGCAGTACGAGGCCCCCTCATACATTTGAAAAGCCCTGTACTTCCAATGGCGGGCAGGTTTGACTGAATATCACATTATCAAACATAAAACCAACAGCCACTATGGTAGCACCCACACACACCAAGCAAGAGTCTCACACCATCACACAGACAAACTCACGTCACAAATCAACATGTCTCAAAAATAGGCCTTACCATAGGGCAGACAGTCTTCACGTTTTCCATGCTTAAATATTTGGGCCTGAGAAAAGAATATTTTAAAATATTGTAAGTACATCTACAAGTTCAGAACATAAATTTAAGTTATCAGAACAACTCACTGCATCTTCCAGCCTCTACTCCAGCAGGAGGCTGTACGTAACACTGAGGGGGTTAAAGAGACAGGAGCAAGGTCTCCTGACAGCCACCTGACAATGAGGTACACAGAGCCCAGTGGCATGAGGGGCTTGGCTGTAACCTGCAGGGTATACAGAGTGAACTAATCCACAAGAAAAGACAGGAGTCTCAGTGGGTTCGGATTATCAGTGCAGAAATGAAGATACCAAAGGAGCCAGTTACAGTGGCACGCACCTGTCAATCCCAGCTACTCAGGCGACTGAGGCAGGAAGACTACGTTCAATGGCAAGACCCTGTCTCAAAATAAAATAAAAGGTACTGGTGATGTGACTCAGTGGTAGAGCACTTGCCTAGCATGTGTGAGGCCCTGGTTCAACCTCCAGCACCAAGAAAAAAAAGAAAAAGATCAAAGGATAAAAAGTGCAGGCCAAACTATCTACCGATAATAGTAAGGAGCTCAAGCTCTCCTCCTGCGAGTTCCCCCAGGAGCAGTGCTGACTCCAGCCAGCTGTTCCCAGTGCCTCCTGCTTGCACTCTGTGACTCTGCCTCCCCCATACACGCAGACCCCACACACAGCACTCTGGACGAACCCAGAGTCCATCAATCAAGGAGGAGTATTCAATTCTCACTGAAACTGACTTCAACCAGAACCCTGAACCCTCAACCTGAAATTTTAACCCACTTTTGAGGTCAGGATGAGAAATGCAGTAAAAGCTGAGAACATCTACAAAAGGACTGGCAAAATTTCTTTTCTTCAGGAAATAGTTTTTAGAAGGCAAAGTGATTAACTGCTTCTATGTTAGGTCATCTGACTCTGCTCTCAGTCACACACACGCACACGCGCACGCACGCACGCACGCACGCAAGCACACACGCAAATTCCAGGTCCTGAAGGTCAAGCCCAGACAGTTTCACTGAGAAACTAACCAGCGACCAAGCACCTCACAGCCACGTAGCTCAGGAAGATGCCTTCAGAACCGGCAACTCGGGGAGTGCAGCCTGACTGGAAGGCTGGGGACACATCCCGACACACAAATGCTCTGGAAAAGCTCAGAAAGGAGTCCTGTGGCACGAACTGTGCCAGGGGCCCTGCATTGAGCGGAGTGCTCTGCTCTGTCCCCCACTCACAGGGGAAGTACCGCTGGCTGTTTCGGCTCCCCTTTACCTGGAATCACTCAGTTAACAAGTCTGCAGGTGCTAACACTCAGCTCCTCGGCAGAAGGGCAGCAAACCCTTGCTCTCTCCACCTCCTCGTCCCCACCAGCTCAACTCAAATCCTGGGCTGTCCATTCCAGGTGAGGAGGCTCAGTTGATTCATTTCACCCTAACACCTGTGGTAGCCCAATGCCACAAACACAGGAGCATCCAGCAATGTGCTCAATGCCAGTGAACAGCCAGACAGGACCCTGGACCTTAAAGTCACCTTTGAGCACGAAGTCATGATAACCATTACTAAAGCACTCAAATTTATTACCTTTAGGATTTGGGCCTGTCAAGGAGTTACCTGGAGCCCCTTGCTTCTTTCTAATGAATGTACAGGGTGTCAGGGATGTGGCTCAACAGAAAGGATGGGTCAGGGCAGGGCCTGAACACCCGCAGTGAACCCCAGAGCTCTGCACCTTCCCACCTGCTCCCACCAGGGTACGTGGCCAGTGGGAGGAAAGGCAGCACCTGGCCTCCATCCACTCTCTGTCTTGATCTCGGAGCTGGTCTGAGACAAGACAGGGACAGAGGGGACAGCCAAACAATCACCATCTGAGAGACAGGCCATTCCCCACCCAACTGCCCATCACCTACAACCCACCAGGCAGCACACACAGAGGCGGCTGGGTTTGAAAAGTGTGGCCTTAGTTCAGACCCAGACATGGAGCTCAGACGCACAAGCACAGGGACTAGATACTTCCCAATTCAAAACGGAAAGTGGAGCTTCTCTCGAACAATCTACTTTCAGCTACAAACTGTTCCACATCAACCACATGTCAGAGAACCTCTCCTGTAGCAGGCTCCAGCTGGCAAAGCCAAGGGGCCACACAGCACCCCTCTTGGGGTACCTCGCACTGCCCAGGGCTGATGGATTTCAGACCTACAGCAGCACACCCTCAGTGACTGCCCATTTTCCCCTAAGGTTGTCACTGCCCTCATCCTCTTTCTTGGTCATCAGCAGGACACAGCCAAGGACACCTCAAATGACAACTTATGACACCAAACCTAAGATGAGCTGTGGTACCTACGTTACAAAAATAAGAAAACTTTATAAGTCCATAGGTTTTCATAAAAACCAGCCAATCAACTTTCACAGTGACACTCAAAACTCCAAGCCTAAATAAAAATACAAATAAACTCATGGTTCAAAAAATAATGGCCAACATCAACTTTGTCGAATTTTCAACTGTGTGGTACTCTCTGTGTCACCAGCACCAGATGGCAGTGAGGCAGGGACACGTTGTGAGCCATCCCTGAGTTGATGAACACCACTCTGCCCACAAACCCTGTGCCCACTCAGGGACAGCCAGGCACACAGGGCAGTTGTGACAAAGACCACACCAATCCACACTAAACACCATGGAACTCAAAGTGCCTGCATGTGTCCTCCTCCAGCTGATTCTAAAATCAGAACTGCTATCATGTGGAGAACAACAAAACTGCCTGACTTCAAACAGAAGTCCTCAAGATGGTAAAGTGATCATGCAAATGTGTGCTAACTAACTTAGAGGCAATGTGATGATCTCAAGTGGTTAAGAACACTGGACACAGCAGGGCACACCTATAATCCAACTACTGAGGCTGAGACCAGGGGATTATGAGTTTGAAGCCAGCCTGGGAAACAAAAAACTGTTTCAAACAAAAAATAAGGACAGGGATGTACTTGTCAAGAATCCACAAGGCCCTGGGTTCAAATCCTGATTTAAGGGGGGGGGGTCAATGAGAGCACAAATATGTGCATATATAAAATCAGGAATATAGGAAGCTTCCAAGAGACCCTACTAAAAGGCTAATACAGTATGAGTGCAGATAATTCAAAAGAAATGCACAAGTTCCAAGAAAAACACAAACTCAAGATCTTTATTATGTAAAGAAACTGAATCAGTAATTTAGAATCTTCCCACAATGAAAACCCTAGCCCCACATGGCTTCACTAATAAATTCTAGTAAACATTCCAGTAAAATAATAATATCATCCTAAACATACTCTGAGGAGACAGTTCCCAACTAGTTACACAAGCCCAATCTCACACTGATATGAAGCCAAAACCAAAAAAGAAATCCATAAATCATTCCCTCTCAAGAATGTAGACAAAGGCCATTGTGGCTTTCCTCAAGATAGCCCACCCTGTATTCTCTACGCTGTACTTTTATCTTGCTTCTTCCTCTTTTACTCAGCCCAAGCTCACTATGCAAAGCCAGTTTCTCTCTCACTTTTCACTTTCACTTTTTCAAATAAACTTTGCCACTGCTTTTTGCTCATTTCGTTCAATTCTTTGTTCAAAACGAGAACAACCTCAAATCCTACTCCAGAAGGAGAGCCAGGCAACCTAAGACCCAGTAACATTTAACTAGCAAGCCACTTTTAGAAGAAACTACCCAATAACATTCTGGCAAGCCAACCAGGCGTAAAGCTCAGGTACCACAGACCAAAGTAATGCTTATGTTGGAATTACAGGAGTGGTCAGCATTATGTATACATTCTTTAAGCAGTGGCAAAGTTTGTTTAAAAAAACAAAAGCGAAGAATGAGAGAAACTAGCTCTGCAGAGTGAGTTTGGACTGAGTTAAAAAAGGAAAAAGCAAGATAAAAGTACATCCTGGAGGATACAGAGTGGGCTGTCATGAGGAAAGCTGTGATAGCAAGCTCATCTTGGCATCTGGGTCCGTTAATATTGTCCAGTTCTCTAGAAAAGCCACAAAAACTTATCTGTATGGATCCCAAGAAGTTACACTGGACCCACACCTCAGGCTGACATCACGTCTCTAGGCCTCCTATTGAAAACCTGCTTGTGCTGGGCATGGTGGCGCATGCCTGTAATCCCAGCACTCGAGAGAGAGGCTGAAGGAGGACTGTAAATCCAAGGCCATCCTAGACTCCACAGCAAGAGCCTGTCTCAAACAAACAAACAAACAAACACAACAACAAAAGACAGATGTCATAATCTTTAACAAAGCCAGGCACAGTGGTGCACACTTGTAACCAGAGCTGTGTGGTAGCCTGAGGCAAGAGGACCACAAGTCTGGTCAACTTGGCAAAAAAAATAATAGAAAGAGGTAGGGATATAGCTCAATGTGAAGGCTCTGGATTCAATCCCCAGTATCATGGGGGGAGCAGGGTTAACAAGCATTAGCAAAATGAATCTAACAACACATTATAAAGGTTTTACACCAAAACCAAAGGGGGTTTGCCCCCTTCAGCAAGGAATGCAAGGACAACTAATGTGATACACCAAGTTAAAAGAATACAGAACAAAACACACAATCACGTCATTAAAAGCAGAATCACTTGTTGGCCACGGACACCAAGACACTCACATGTGTCTTAGCTCATTCACAGGACACTGCTTCCCTGAGTCCACAGCAAGAAATCCAGATGGTGTGGAGGATGGAAAATGTCCCCCAGAGGCTTAGGGCAGGAAGCGCTCAGGTCAAGGAACAGACGTTTCTAGAAATCAACTATGGTCACAGTCCCAGCTGGCCCCTGCCTGCAAGGTGCCTGCCATGCGGTCTTCAGCTAAAGCCTAGGCCGCCAGGACCTCCACACCCTCCCTGACAGCACAGAAGTCATCACTTACGTCAAAATTTTTGTGCTGGCTACCCTGTGATAGAGAACCCACGCCCTCCTCAGGAAGCAGTGAAGTCCTGGGATCCCACTATGGACAAGGGAGCCAGATGTCACTTGGGCGGCAGCAGGGCCAA